TACTGGCCCATGCGAGGCAGGTCCTTATCAAAACAACCTCTGCCTATGATGAGGACGGGTAGACGTTGAAATCATGTGACTCCTGTGTTGTTGGGTTGGTGGTGCTTAAGTATCATGTATGCCAATGTTTTTGAAATTTTGTAGTTTCCAGTGTTGCGTTCTATAGTGTCGGTGACGGCGATTAGTGAGGCTTCTAGGCACCATCGGCGTCTGAGGTCTGGTTCGGTGAGAACGAGTTGTGCTCATTCCAGTTCATCAAATGTCCCGTGGAGTCTCTGTGGAGGACACAGGCGTACCTTACATCGTCTCTGTTAGAGGCATTTCGATGCTCATTCAAGCGGACTGCAAGATCTCTGCCTGTCTCGCCTACATATTTCTGGGACAGAACCACAGGGATAGTGTAGACGCCTGCTGTAGAAGTTAGAGGTGTGGGGCTGCGTTTCGTAGTGAGGTCTTTGATAGATGATGTGTTTATGGTGGAAACGTTGATGTTACTCATAGCAAGTGCCCGGCGAGTATTCGTGGCAACATCACCACATGGGAGTACTATGAACTGCTTAGGGGGCTGTTCCACGGGCGGTTTGTTGAGAATAGTTTGTCCCTTAATCTGCAATCTCAGTGAAAAAAGTGGAACTGAAGGTGTAAAGGCTTGGTTATGAAGGGCTTCTTCTTCTAGAAAAAAAGGGGATGGAGATGCGAGAGCTCTAAGAAAAAGCCAATGGGGCTCCCCCTTTAGTGGGGTGTCTTGGTGTGAAAAAAGTTATAAGATCGTCCTGTTGGTAGGTTTTTATCACTTTGAAGGAAGTTTGTCACTGTCGGGGATTGAACAGTAAAACGTGGGAAAGGAGTTTGCCTCATTTTTTGATGGTTCAACTGCATTGATCTTGTTGAAAAGGGGCCCTGGTATTGAGACGTTTGGATAAAAAACCCAATACATCATCAAGTATCTTACCCAGGAAAAAAGGGTGTTGGGAATGGGGTGCTGATTTCTCTGTCTCCGGTTTTCCATGAGGGGTTTGGCAAGCACGCACTGGCGGCTGCCCATTCCCACCCCAAAGCACTTTTTTAAACAGTTTGTCCTGATACTTGAAAAAGTTGAAATTAAAAAAATTTTTCCCTAGTTTGATGAAGTCTAGAAGAGGTGAAGGGGGGTCGTGGTTTTCAGTGTTGGGAAAAAAAAACTCCCAAAAAGGGACGTTATAATTTTTTTACACAAGACCCCCGCACTAAGAGAGGAGCCCCTCTTTGGTTCTTCTTGGAGCTCTTCGCTTCTCCACCCCTGTTTTCTGGGAAAAAGATGAAACTTCATAACAACCCTTTCCGTCTTAGTTCCCTCTTTCTTCACCCGAGATGCAGACTTAAGGCACAAGCTTTCTCAACAACCGCCCATGGAACAGCCCCCTAAGCATTATAGTCCCCCATGTGGTGATGTTGCCAAAAATACTCGCCGGGCACTTGCTATGAGTAACATCCGTTTACCTAAACACATCATCTATCAAAGCCCTCATACGAAACGCAGCCCCACACCTCTAACTTTACAGCGGGGTTTACACTTCCCCTGTGGGTTCGCCCCAAGAAATATGTAGGCGAGACGGCAGAGATCTTGGGGGCCGTTGAATGAGCATCGAAAGGCCTCTAACAGAGACGATGTAAGGGACGCCGGTCTCAAGAGACCCAGGGACATTTGATGAACTGGAATGAGGCACAACGTTTCACCGAACCCGACCCCAGACGCGACGGTGCCTAGAAACCCCCAAACCGCACGCATATAGAACGCAACATGGAAATAAAATTTTAAAACATTGGATCCTGATACTTAAGCACCACCAACCCAACAAACACAGGAGTCACTGATTTCAAAGTCTACCCCTCCTCATCATAGGGAGAGGTTTTTTTGTAAGGGCCGCCCCGCTGGGCCGTGGCTTCACAGTGTTCCCCCATTTTGTTCTTTGACTTCCTCGGTCCGGCGTACACCCATCTCCCCCTATATATTAAAGCCTTTTACCTCGTATGTTTGAAAATGATCAGGGGCCAGGACGAAACGTTTTCTAATAAAAAATGCTAGGTTTGCTTCGTGTTTTCTAAAAAAAAAAAAAAAACCCCAAAAAAAAAAAAAAAAATTTAAAAAAAAAAAAAAAAAAAAAAAAAACAAGGGAAAAAAACCAAACAAAAAAAAAAAAAAAAATTTTAAAAAAAAAAAAAAAAAAAAAAAAAAAAAAAATAAAAATATTTAAAAAAAAAAAAAAAAAAAAAAAAAAAAAAAAAAAAAAAAAAAAAAAAAAAAAAAAAAAAAAATCAAATTGGGGGGGAGGGGAGGGGATGGAAAGAACTGAATGTTTTCGATACTAATTGGGAGTTGGGGGTTGGGGATGGATTTTGAAGGGGTGAGGTTAATATAAAAAGGGAATTGGGGGAGGGGGAAAAAAGGTGAGGGTCGTTGAGGTTATGGGAGTTAAAAAAAAAAAAAAAAAAAATTATCTATGGAGGCAAAAAAAGGGAAAGTATGAAAGATAGTAGTACAAAAATCTTTTATGGGTGGGAAGCTTGGGTGGTAAAATGAAGCGTGATTATGGTGGTGTGGTGAAAAATGTTGAAAGATGATGAAAGTTTTTTTTTGGGGATTTTCTTTCTTTTTTGGGTCACCGCCTCGGTGGGGGGGCCAAAATTTTTGAAAAAAAAAAAAAAAAAAAATATTATGTGTGACCTAATGTAAGTAGTGTAGCAGAGTACCCGTAATCTTTCATGTTTTGGGGCAAAAAAGGACACCCGCAATCCTACCATCAGTAACCAAAATTTTAGGGGTTTCATTTTACACTCATTGGGAGGACGGTGTACCTCCTGGGGGCTCTGTTTTCCAATTATACCTTTTTTTTTTTTTTTTCAACAAGTCGGCCCTCTCCCACCGATGCAGGGTGACCCAAAAAAAAAAAAGAAAATCCCCAAAAAGAAAAACTTTTATCATCATTCAACATTTTCACCTCACTCAACATAATCACTGTTTTGCAGAGGTGTCAGAATACAACAGTTTGAAGATATACGTATACAGTACAAACTACCCCCCAAATGTTAAAATCCCAACCCCTCCTTTGGTGCAGGCATTGTATTCCATTTTCCCGGATCAAGTCCCGGGTATATAAAAATAAGGTTCCCCGATCCCTTCACTAAAAATTACCTGCTCACACTCCAAACAGTCGTCAGGTCCAAATACCCCCCGTCTCCATTCATCCTATCGAAAAAACGCTCTGCACGCCCGTGGAAGTCCAAGCCCCCGTCCCCAAAACCTCCCTTACCCCTTCCTTCCAACCTTTTCGAGGATGACCCCTACCCCGCCTTCCTTCTCCTACAGATTTAAATGCTCTCCATGTCATTCTACTTTGATCCATTCTCTCTAAATGACCAAACCACCTCAACAACCCCTCTTCAGCTCTCTGACTAACACTTTTATTAACTACTATATTTATCATTTACTACCTATATTTATCATTAATATATAATGTAAAATCTTTTACTAGACTGAATACAGAAAATATTTACAAAATAAATGCTCAAGAAAATATTAACCACTCCACTTAAGATTCTTCAAATATCCAAAAAAGTGCAGGTCTCCCTTACTTTATTTGAATTCACTATTATGCGATGCCCCATTTCTATTGCTAATTCTGTATATGCAATACATAGTCATCATATACAATTGGCACAGTTTGCAAAGCACAGATTTTTATTGTGTGTAATGAAGTGTGGCCTGAGTTTAGTACAATTGCCAAGGGTTTGGAATGCATTTATAACACAAAATAAAACATACCTATATTATAAAGTTGTGTCAATAAAAATGCTGCAAATGTTTTATATTAGTTTTTACAAAATAATTCAATATCTCCGTACTGCAATTGTTCCATTCAACTTGACTTCTTGACTTCTAGTGAGTGACCGGCTATTAAACACACAATATTTGTAATTTGAAATGTTACCCTGATTAAATAATGCAAAGAATACAGTGGACCCCCGGTTAACGATTTTAATCCGTGCAAGAGGGATAATTGTTATGCGAAATAATCGTTATGCGAATGAATTTTCCCCATAAGAAATAATGGAAATAAAATTAATCCGTGCAAGACGCCCAAAAGTATGAAAAAAATTTTTTTTTACCACATGAAATGTTAATTTTAAATACACACAAACTGAAAAAGGCATGCACAATTACATGACACTTATTTTTATTGAAGATCTGGTGATGACTGATGGGATGGGAGGAGGGGAGAGCTTTAAACTTCTTACTGTTTAGAAGGGGAATCCCCTTCCATTACGACTTGAGGTAGCAAGTCCTTTTCCGGGGTTACTTCCCCTTCTTCTTTTAATGCCACTAGGACCAGCTTGAGAGTCACGGACCTCTGTCGCAAAAACAATCTGTCCATAGAGCTCTGTACCTCCGTTCCTTTACGTTTGTCTAAAATGGGCCACAACATTGTCATTGAAATAGTCACCAGCACGGCTTGCAACAGCTGTGTCAGGGTGTTTTTTCATCTATAAAGGTTTGCAGTTCAACCCACTGTGCACACTTTTCCTTAATCTTTGAAGTAGGCACAATGGATTCACAACTGGCATAGGCTTCTCGGGTTTTAGCCCCAAACCCTTCAAAATCTTTCTTAATTTCCCTACTAATTTCTCACCCTTTTTACCACAGGGTTGGCACTAGAAGCTTTCTTGGGGCCCATGGTCACTTATTTTCCAGAAACAGCACCGAAAACACTGTAATAATACGAAATATTCCGAGTGTATGCTTGGATGTTACCGCGGAGGCTGGCTGGTAAACAATGGGACGGGCGGCACATGTGAGGGCACATTGGACGCGTCTCGGACGAAAATCGGTGAGCGGGTTTTTAATCGGTATGCGCGGCAAAAATTTTGCGATAAAAGTAAGCGGTATGCGGAAAAATCGCTATGTGATGCCATCGTTATGCGGGGGTCCACTGTATGTAGGAAAAATTAAACATCTTTGTTACCTGAATCTCTGTGGGCTCGCTGAAGCCTAACTCACTCAGTGCTTTCAACACAGGAGGTGGGACAAAGTATTTGTCCCATGCTGACACATTGACCCTTTTTTTGATTCCTGGATTATTTCCCTGGTATACGGCACTGTCGTAGCGAACTTTCTTGTTTGTAGAAGTTTCCAATCCTTTTTTTTGCTGTCTTTTTCTTTTCTTATTAACATTACTTACTACTGAAATACTGGCTTCTTGCTCTTGCTGAGTGTTTCCATTAACTTTCAAACCTTCGTTCTTTCTTTCAACAATGCTAGTTTTACTCTGTGTAATTTCTCCATTTGCTAAACCTGTTTTCTTTTTCTTCTTCTTTTTTTTTTCCTTTTTAGTAGGAGTAACAGTGTTTGATTCACAACTGATTTCTGAGTCTTTAGGCATATCCTTGTTTTTCTTCTGAAATTAAGATTTTTATATTACTGAAATATTAGGATATATACAGTAAGTACTACAATATTCTTTATATAATGAACATACGATAAAGGCATGCAGTACAGTGCTTTAAAAATCAACATGCATTATACATACAATATGTACATAATTTCAAAATATGAAAAAGTGCAAAAAAGACAATATGAAGTGTACTTCTTTTTAAACTCTGATAGAAAAATTTGTTGGACTGGCCTCCAAAAGGTAATATGTAATTCAACCAGAAGTATAAAATATTTAAGACAAATGAATTAAAAGGCTACACCCATTTGGAAATACATGTTTCCTTCATGTATAAGGATGCTTGTCCAATTTTTCATTTTCTCCCAGATTGGGCTATTTTGCTTCCCAGGCACTGGGAGGCAGAGTTCTATACAACGTAAGGTGCCAGTGGCCTTTAAAGTTCAACAGCAACAATAATGCATCCCTAAGCACATTAAACAGAAATACAGTAGTACCCTGAGTTTCAGCCATAATTTGTTCCAGAAGGCTGTTCGAGTGCTGTTACCGAAAGCATTTGTTCCCATAAGGAATAATGTAAATTAGATTAGTCCGTTTCAGACCACCATAAATACACTTACAAAAGCACTTAAATTAATGCACTTACGTAACTGTTCGACTTGGGAGCTGTACGAAACTTGGGGTACCACTGTATCTGAAAGACCTCACTAGACAATCTGATTTATACCTGGAGAGAGTTCCGGGGGTCAATGCCCCCATGGCCCGGTCTGTGACCAGGCCTCATGGTGGATCAGGGCCTGATCTACCAGGCTGTTACTGCTGGCCGCAAGCAATCCAACGTATGAACCACAGCCCGGCTGGTCAGGTACTGACTTTAGGTGCCTGTCCAATGCCTGCTTGAAGACAGCTAGGGGTCTATTGCTAATCCCCCATATGTATGCTGGGAGGCAGTTGAACAGTCTTGGGTTCCTGACACTTACTGTGTTGTCTCTTATCGTGCTAATGGCACCCCTGTTTTTCATTGGGGGGATGTTGCATTGTCTGTCGAGTCTTTTGCTTTCATAAAGAGTGATTTTTGTGTGCAAGTTTGGTACTAATCCCTCTAGGATTTTCCAAGTGTATATAATGATGTATCTCTCCTGCCTGCATTCTAGGAAGTACAAGTTGAGGAACTTCAAGCATTCCCAGTAACTAAGGTATTTTATCGCAGTTGTGTGTGCCCTGAAGGTCCTCTGTACATTTTCTAGGTCAGCAATTTCACCTGCCTTGAAAGGTACTGTTAGTGTGCTTAAGCAAAAAAAAATTTCTTAATTTTGGTGGAAATTTTGAGATTTCCTAAAAAATGCTTGAAAAACAATAGAAAAAATGAAAACATTGCAAAATATCAATATTTTCATTTCATATAACATATTAAGAATTTAGGATATGAAAATGATTATGTTTGATTATGTATGAGTGATGGTGAAAGTGATGAATGATGATGAAAGTTTTTTCTTTCTTTTGGGGTTCTTTCTTTCTTTTTGCATCACTCTGCCTCAGTGGGAAATGGCCAATGTGCCAAAAAGAAAAAAAATGAAAATGGTTTAATATACTGTACCTATCTACCATAGCCCATGTTGCATGGTTGATGCCTTACTTACAGCTTACTAGAACTTAATGTCTTAAATAAAGTAACTGGCAGATGATTATTATTATTATTATAATCAAGGGGGAAGCGCTGAGCCTGTTTAGAACATCAGAACATTATCTATATAACTGAATAAAATTTCAACACTGGGCTTTTAAGTCGATGTTATGACAGTAAGTCCCAAATATGGAAGGAGATGCATACATAAAAAACTTTCTCTCAAAAGTTAAAAGTTAAAAATATGCACTACTATTCTTACCTTCTTTACAATTTTCCCATCTTTCAAAACTTCCCTTTTCACCTTTCCTTGCTTGGATAATTTCAGAAGTGTACATGATGATATCTCTTCAAAGCCTGCCAAGCCTTCAAATTCATGTGAAGCAGCAATAGGTGTAGAGAGTAAAGATGAATTTTTTACTCCAGCATCTCCCTTCCTAGATCTCTTTCCCATTTTCTTACAGTTCTCCTGTAGTGGATAATGAAATTAGGTCACATAAATAGTTTAAAACTGGAATAAACTGATCAAGAATGAAGTACTGTATGCACATTTTGATTACAGCCTCTCCTCACTTAACATTATATAAATATACCTCAGTATATTACAAGCTCCCAACTCACACAGTTATGTAAGTGTATTTTTGTAAGTGCTTTTGTAAGTGTATTTTTAGGGGTCTGAAACGGATTAATCTACTTTACATTATTCCTTATGGGAACAAATTCGTTCGGTACTCGAACAGATCGGCACTCGAACCGCCTTCTGGAATGAATTAAGGTTGTATACTGAGGTACCACTGTATTATATAGTAAGGTAAAGTTACGTTAGGTTACTTTACAATGGGTTATGTGGATTTCATTAGGTTTGGTTACTTGTTTTACCTTTTGCAGTCATAACCTGTCACATAAATAATATTATTACTATCAATGGGAAGCACTGAACTCATAGTGTATGAGAAATAGGAGGCAATAAGGTTCAAGCCAAGGAAAGTAATTGTTGTATTTATTTTAATTATGGGAAAATGCTAAACCCACATGAGTCACATAGCACCTGGGGAATGGGAGGCAATCAGGTACAAGCAAGTTCCTTAGATCAAGAACCCTCAAAGCATCAGGGAATAACAGGTCCACTTTCTTGGATTAAGAGCCCCTAGCCAGAATCAAAGACATCCCCTTGAAATGCCAATGGGAGAATGGATCCACTTTCTTGGATCAAGAGCCCCTCACCATCATCAAGGAACCTCCCTTGAGAAAATATTACAACAAAGCAGTTTCTACCTTGTTTTATCATTATCATTATTATGATAATTAAGTTTATCCAGGTATACACAGTTACATAGATTATCATATACATAATTATTTTTATTTTTACAATCACAACTAAGCATTAAACCCACAAGGGTCATACAGCAAATTATACTCCAGGTTATATACCAAGGGTCAAATATACATATGACATATATACCAAGGGTAAAATATACATGTGACACATATATACCAAGGGTAAGATATACACGATTTATATATACCAAGGATAAAATATACATGATTTATATATACCAATGGTAAAATATACATGACATATATATACCAAGGATAAAATATACATGATTTATAAATACCAAGGGTAAAATATACATGACATATATATATACCAAGGGTAAAATATACATGATTTATATATACCAAGGGTAAAATATACATGATTTATATATATATACCAAGGGTAAAATATACATGATTTATATATACCAAGGGTAAAATATACATGGCTTATATATATACCAAGGATAAAATATACATGATTTATATATACCAAGGGTAAAATATATATGACTTATACATATACCAAGGGTAAAATATACATGATTTATATATACCAAGGGTAAAATATACATGACATATACACCAAGGGTAAAATATACATGACTTACATATACCAAGGGTAAAATATACACGAGACATATATACCAAGGGTAAAATATACATGAGACATATATATACCAAGGGTAAAATATACATGACGTATATACCAAGGGTAAAATATACCGACATGTGACTTAAGACACGATAGGGTATTTATTTACAAGACATTTTATCCACCAGGGACTTTATCAATGAGTAATAAAATCCTCGGTGGGTGAAACGTCTTCTAAATACCACAAACCTCATATCATTACTTATCGACACGTTTCGACCCTGCGTATTATTATACACTCAATTATTATAATCAAAAAGAAGCGCTAAACCACAAGGGTTATACATCATTATACACAAAAAGAAGCACTAAACCCACTAGGTACCTTACGTATATCTTGGGGATAAACGCAAAAGTGTTAGAAAGTTTAAGCTTGAAAGCTTAAGATATAAACGTCCTTTGTAATCTTCTACTTTATTTTTCTCCCCTGCAGAGTTTTCTTAGAGATTTCTTAAGATTTTCTCATTAGGAGCCTCCAGCAGCCTCCTTCCTCCTCCATTTGTTTACAACTCGCCTCGTGTCTACAATATTCACCTGTACCAGGAACCCAATTTTTCTCATTTATAGTTTTCGTTAGAGAAAAGCATATATTTTTTATTTATTTATTTATTCTTGGCATATGTTTATTTTTTGAAAGTAGTTTTGAGACTATATTTACGTTTAACGATAAAAATATTGCAACTTTTTAAAATATTCACGTGCACCAGGGTCCCTATTTTAGAATGTACTTGCCTATTTGTGGTTTCTACCGCCCACAGGATGGGTATGGGGTGCATAATAAACATATTAAACTAACTATTTGTGGTTGCAGGGGTTGAATTACAGCTCCTGGCTCCGCCTCTACTCTAGTCGCTACTAGATCCACTCCTTCCCTGCTCCAAGGCTCTTATCGTACCTTATCTTAAAGCAATTTATGGATCCTGCCTCCATTAATGTCAATCAGTTTATTTAGGCACAGTTACACATAAGTACAATTAACATAGTGTAAATTACCTATGATAACCCAAAAAAGTAACACAAAATTACTTATTTTCATGGGGGTCCTTGATTTCTGTCTCCAGAGATAAGCTCTTCATTCCACAAATGCCTCAATATTCCACCAACCTGTTTTCTTAATCTAGTCTCCTCGTTTTTCATAAACCCTTCTACTGACCCACTCCAAAATATTTAAATACCTCCTCTTCCTTTATATTGTCTCCTTCCAAACTGATATCCAATTCTCAATAGCCTAAACTTTTAAGCTACTCTCTTCACCTTACTCTTGTCTCTGTTCATTTATAAATTCCAGCCTTGCTCAGTCACCCAAACTCGTCCACTAATCTTTGGAAATGAGTCACTTTGTTTGACCTTTTTGGGGTGATGCTAGTTAATTTACCCATGTTACTGTGTATGATCATTTGTGTAACTATATTTATGTGTGCCTGTACCTGCTTACTAACTTATCAGAGCCTTGAGTAAAACAGTGACTGGCAAAGAACATCTATGGAAGCACTCATCTTGCTTCAGATTTACAGAAAATCCACAAAGGAGAAAAGAGAAGCAGGTGCTTGGAATTTAGTGATGTATCGGACATCCGCATCCGTGGAGCATCCGCATGATTTCTCACATCCGTATCCGCATTTTACTGTAAACATATGCATCTGTATCCGAATCCACGGAACATCCGCACAATTACTTACATCACCATCAGCATCCACAGAACATCCGCACTATTTCTTACATCACCATCAGCATCCGCGGAACATCTGCACTATTTCTTACATCACTATCAGCATCCGCGGAACATCCGCACTATTTCTTACATCACCATCAGCATCCGCGGAACATCCGCACTATTTCTTACATCACCATCAGCATCCGCAGAACATCCGCACTATTTCTTACATCACCATCAGCATCCGCGGAACAGTTAGTTTAATATGTTTATTATGCACCCCATACCCATCCTGTGGGCGGTAGTCAAAAGATTACAGAGGTACATAATTGGTCCAGGGACTGGACTCCAAAGTTTTGATAGCTGAGCAAGTTACAGAGGTAATGAATTCACAATTTACAAAGGTAATGAACTCACAAATTACAAAGGTAATGAACTCCGGGTAGGTCTAGTCACAATCATGACAAGTTACAAAGGTATTTACAGATTGCCAGTTTTACCGCGGAACATCCACACAATTTCTCACATCCACATCCGCAACCGCATCCGCAAAATAAGTGAGACATCCTCATATACCTCCGCATCCGCGGATATCTACATTTTTCACATAAGATACATCTCTAGTTTGGATGTCTTAGAAAAACCACCTTTAGTGCGAGTCGGTGGAGATGAACAAATATCTTCGGATCTGAGTTTTCTGAAGTGGTAATCTGCATTTATTTCACTTGTGGGGGGAAGCACTAAGCCTGCAAGGGTCTTAACAGAATCTAGAATGGAATGGGAAGATAAGATAAGATTTCGTTCGGATTTTTAACTCCAGAGGGTTAGCCACCCAGGATAACCCAAGAAAGTTAGTGCGTCATCGAGGACTGTCTAACTTATTTCCATTGGGGTCCTTAATATTGTCCCCCAGGATGCGACCCACACCAGTCGGCTAACACCCAGGTACCTATTTGCTGCTAGGTGAACAGGACAACAGGTGTAAGGAAACGTGTCGAAATGTTTCCATCCGCCGGGAATCGAACCCGGGCCCTCCGTGTGTGAAGCGGGAGTTTTAGCCACCAGGCCACCGGGAAGTAGATCAAGCCAAGAAAACAGAGAATGGCTTAATAATAATATCTTTATTTTTACAAGTACATATACAAGGTATACAGTCCTAGTTGACATCAGTGACATATTACTATATAGAAAGCCACTTGTTATGCTGAGCATTTCTGGCATATTAGATCAATTTTGTCCCAGGATGCGACCCACACCCAGGTACCCAGTTTTACTGATGGGTGAACATAGTCAACCGGTGTAAGGAAACAAACCCAATGTTTCAACCCTCACCGGGAAGTGAACCCGGACACTCAGTGAGTGAAGAGAGATCTTTTGCTACCAGACCACGGGCCGTCGACTTAGAATAGAGACTATTTATCGACATCAAGGTCACTTTAACCCCACTACACTTCCCCGCTTGTAGGAATTACAGGTTACAAATACCTGGTTAGTTTATAAGTAAGGCATCCTAGCGCCTAAGGTGATTTAGGGAGCCAGGGAAAAGGCGCTGGTTAAATACTGCTTTAAGTTTATTTAGGTACAGATACACATAAATATAGTCACATAAATGATTATACCTAGTAAATTATTATTGGATATGGGGGTGCACAATAAATAGCCCTTCGGTGGCAAAAAACTAAAAATCTAGTAAAATTACCTTGAATTAAACCCAAAAAAAAAATCAGATGAAATTAAATTTTTTCCATTGGGGTCTTTGATAGCGCAAGTTTAGTGTACCCGTATTAAAAATAATTAAAAACGGGATTTAATTATGTTTTGTAAGTAGATTCTTATAATT